TCAAATTTGGCAAAAGCGTAATAGAACTGACTAAAGTTGAGCTCAGTTTTTGTTAAAGTTATAGATGTCACAAAAGTGAACTTTAGCTTTAGGGAATTTTAGAGATCTGGTAAAAGTTGTTTTTAGCTAAAGTGAGCATTGCAGATCTGTCTAGAAATAAGTTTAGCTTACATACCTTAGAAAAGATGCGTTAAGCTAAAATGAACGTTGGATAGCTAACAAACGATGTACTTAGATTAAGTGAACGTTTCAGATTTAGCAAAAGTTTTGTTTAGTTTAAGTGAACTTTACAGATCTAAAAAATGTGTGTATAGTTATTTAGTGAACGTTGAAAATATGGTAAAAGTTCTGTATAGCTTAAGGTAACAATGGAGATGTGACAAAAGTTCTGTATAGCTTAAGGTAACAATGGAGATGTGACAAAAGTTCTGCTTAGCCTTAGTGAACGTTACAGATCTGACAAAGTTGTATTTAGCTTAAGTGAATGTTACAGATCTGGTAAAAGTTGTTAAGCTCTAGTGAGCATTAGATATATGGAAACAACTTTTGTGGGTTGTTCTATAAGGCAATTTATTTGCAGTACCCTGTTTCTTTATGAGGCGACTAATGTGGGTTCCCTATACAGTTATTAGACTACTAATGTGTGATTCCTTTAATATTATAGGGCGACTAATGTGGAATTCCTTTAATATTAATAGGCGACTAATGTGGGATTCCTTTAATATTTTAGGACGACTAATGTGGGATTTCTTTAATATTATTAGGCTACTAATGTGGGATTCCTTTAATATTATAGGACGACTAATGTGGGATTCCTTTAATATTATAGGGCGACTAATGTGGGATTCCTTAATATTATTAGGCGAATAATGTGTGATTCCTTTAATATTATTAGGCGACTAATGTGTGATTCCTTTAATATATTAGGCTACTAATGTGGGATTCCTTTAATAGTATGAGGCGACTAATGTGGGATTCCTTAAATAATATAGGACGACTAATGTGGGATTCCTTTAATATTATAGGACGACTAATGTGGGATTCCTTTTAATATTATAGGGCGACTAATGTGGGATTCCTTTAATATTATAGGACGACTAATGTGGGATTCCTTTAATATTATAGGACGACTAATGTGGGATTCCTTTAATATTATAGGACGACTAATGTGGGATTCCTTTAATATTATAGGACGACTAATGTGGGATTCCTTTAATATTATAGGACGACTAATGACGGATTCCTTTAATATTATAGGACGACTAATGACGGATTCCTTTAATATTATAGGACGACTAATGTGGGATTTCTTTAATATTGTAGGACGACTAATGTGGGATTCCTTAAATATTATAGGACGACTAATGTGGGATTCCTTTAATATTATGAGGCGACTAATGTGGGATTCCTTTCATATTATAGGACGACTAATGTGGGATTCCTTTAATATTATAGGGCGACTAATGTGGGATTCCTTTAATATTATAGGGCGACTAATGTGGGATTCCTTTAATATTATAGGGCGACTAATGTGGGATTCCTTTAATATTATAGGGCGACTAATGTGGGATTCCTTTAATATTATAGGGCGACTAATGTGGGATTCCTTTAATATTATAGGGCGACTAATGTGGGATTCCTTTAATATTATAGGGCGACTAATGTGGAATTCCTTTAATATTAATAGGCGACTAATGTGGGATTCCTTTAATATTATAGGGCGACTAATGTGGGATTCCTTTAATATTATTAGGCTACTAATGTGGGATTCCTTTAATATTATACGGCGACTAATGTGGGATTCCTTAATATTATTAGGCGACTAATTTGTGATTCCTTTAATATTATTAGGCGACTAATGTGTGATTCCTTTAATATTATTAGGCTACTAATGTGGGATTCCTTTAATATTATGAGGCGACAAATGTGTGATTCCTTAAATAATATAGGACGACTAATGTGAGATTCCTTTAATATTATAGGACGACTAATGTGGGATTCCTTTAATATTAGAGGACGACTAATGTGGGATTCCTTTTAATATTATAGGGTGACTAATGTGGGATTCCTTTAATATTGTAGGACGACTAATGTGGGATTCCTTTAATATTATAGGACGACTAATGTGGGATTCCTTTAATATTACTAGGCTACTAATGTGGGATTCCTTTAATATTATGAGGCGACAAATGTGTGATTCCTTAAATAATATAGGACGACTAATGTGAGATGCCTTTAATATTATAGGACGACTAATGTGGTATTCCTTTAATATTATGAGGCGACAAATGTGTGATTGCTTAAATAATATAGGACGACTAATGTGAGATGCCTTTAATATTATAGGACGACTAATGTGGGATTCCTTTGAAGATTAGAGGGTGACTAATGTGGGATTCCTTTAATATTACTAGGCTACTAATGTGGGATTCCTTTAATATTATACGACGACTAATGTGGGATTCCTTAAATATTATAGGACAACTAATGTGGGATTCCTTTAATATTATAGGGCGACTGATGTGGGATTCCTTTAATATTATAGGACGACTAATGTGGGATTCCTTAAATATTATAGGACGACTAATGTGGGATTCCTTTAATATTATAAGGCGACTAATGTGGGATTCCTTTAATATTATAGGGCGACTAATGTGGGATTCCTTTAATATTATAGGACGACTAATGTGGGATTCCTTTAATATTATAAGGCGACTAATATGGGATTCCTTTAATATTATAGGGCGACTAATGTGGGATTCCTTTAATATTATAGGACGACTAATGTGGGATTTGGCCTGGAATAAATGGAGATTTATTCTTCTATGGAAGTAGGAGTTTTTAAAATTTATCTACAAAACTTAATAACGTTTTGAATATCTATATTTTCGTTCCTTCCCAATTTCCTGTCTCAATTTGGGAATGTTCTCACATACTATGATCACAATGCGGTCCTTTCAGGTGACGAGCTGTTGTGTCGTCAACAGAGTGAGACCGTGCATTGTATCTTTGTATTATAACTACGCGCTTAATGTATTTCCAGAGTGAGTCTGTTTAATTCACTCGTTCTGCTCTTGAATATTTAACGAAGTAACCACAGAGCGTGTCCTTGCAATCCACAGTTGGATCAATCAATAATTTAATAACACATTTTGATACGAAAAGCATCTGTCTGAGCTTCATCATTTTTGTGGCGTTCCTAATATTTTCCTTTCGTTTCTTTCCACGGTTTCTGTTATTAACTTTTCGTGTTTACTTTGAGGTCCGAGTTTTTGTTACTTGTGTGTTGGAAATTTTGTGCTATATCTTTTTACGTCATTAGTTTAAACTGTTTTTATTTCTGGTAATAAACAATACATTATATTTTCAATATATAATCCTAAACGATTCGGACGTTTTTACGTCATTATTATGACTCGTATAGATAATGTACATATGATGCCATTATTGATAAGATGTAGATGTACATAATTCGGGCTGTTATTTATAACTATCAAAGTAAATAGTATCACGTCTTATACAGTGGTTTAATGTGTGTTAGGAATCTGAAACGTCCTGAAATTTGATTTAAAAATACAGTAAAACCTCCTTCAAGTTTCCTCTTCGTTTCTCCACAACATATTTCAAGGTCATTTCTTTCTCTTTTTCTTAAGAACTCCTTCATATATTTCTATCAATTTATTGCCAAACCCCTTTATAACGCCAACTTTTCTCTGGACAAACGGTGGCAATATAACGAGGTTTTAATGTTATTAGCACTGAGTATTTCATATATAGTTTAGACATGTACCACTGTCGGGTCATGAATGCATAAAGTCAAATACACGGTAAAGAAACCAATGTCTCGGCGCTTCATCGATTTATTTTATTTATAGATAAAATAATTAAAATCTAAAAATAGACTTATATATTGCTTATTTATTCAGTGGAATTGTCAATTAAATCTACAACAGAGGGACTGTGCGCTTCCAACTAACATGCTTAGGCGAATTATCTTATCTAAATCAGGATGGTATAATTTCATCCGCATTTTAATTAAAGTAAATAAAACATATTCGGATTAATGAATACCGTAAAAAAGAGAACACATTTACGATTTGCATAAGATGTCATTAGGACCAATTAAAAATATAAACAAAAGCAAAACAAAACAAACAGAATCCACGTGAAATCTAGAGCGTTTGGCAGCTTTTGCACACCGGTGTCGGCAGTCGACATGGGTTCGACTCCCGGTGTCGGGGACCATCATGTTTCGGACTTCTTCTCGCGATCTTACAATAACTGTAACTAGTGATATTGTTAACTAATATAAGTGTTAGCAATTGTAAATTATATGTGGTCAGAATCTAATTTAGCATTATGTGTTGGTGGAATAATTTAATGATTTAATTATATTTTCATTTATGTGATTGATTGATTTATTGGTAATCTGAAGGATGAACAGTTTAGTCACTTTGTTTTATTTTTCCAGTAAATAGTGTTTCAACAGTCAACTAGTAAACAATGCCTTTTTATGACATTTTACGTACTCTTCAACAGTAAGTAACACATATGAAAAACAGATGAATTAAGCAACAATCGCTAATTTGAGGTATGCACTGTGTCGTTCACGATTGCTCGTCAATGCAAAAATGTTCACAGAGGATTTAAATTTATTTGTTTTATTAGCCGTGGTGATAATGTGTAGAGGCTTTCTACCTGCACTTATACAATTGAGTGTTTTTTTCATAAATCAATATGTCAAGTTGTACGCATACAAACAAAACATGCCTCACTCCGTTATCCTGCAGACTGGTTGTTATTTTGCCCTTTTTACCTAATAAGGTTTCCCTGTGCAGATGTACGTAAGAAAGAACCGCCCCAGCCTCACAAAGGAAAAGCTCCGCGTGAGAAATACAGGTTTGGACAGATTATACAAAAAATCAATCTATTAAATAGCTGTATAATCGCTGGCTAGTGTCACGTCTGTATTAGCGTACTTGTACGCGGGACGCCAAGCATCAGCAGCCGATATTGTTCAGCCGACCATGGCATTGTCAATACAAGTAAACCCAGGACAGGTGAGCTTTTGTCTCTTTCTCTGTAAACACGTCTCGGCTGGAGCTATTCTATAACGAGCATTACAGACCGGGTCTATCATTGCTACATTGCGTAAAAGGACTGAAATGAGGAGGGATGCATAACATCACAGAACTCTAGCAAATGACGTGGGAATGGTACCGAACCTTTGAGGGTCATTGGTCACATAAAGGCCAATTTACCTTGTGACAATGTTGACAATGCTATGAATATCGAGGTCGATTGACGACCAAACAACACAGACTTAGAAGACACGGAGTGCAAGACGACAGAATTGGTTGGATTGTGTAAGTATTAATCGTATATCATTTACATTTCAGAAAATTAACACCTGTATCGTGCGATATCTAAATTGACATTTCTGGTACTGTTATATCACCGGACTGTGCCATTCTTGAACAAAACATCCACACACGTTGGTTGCAATGTTTCCAATTATTATACACTGTGATAAATAATTATACGTTTTGGTGAAGACGAATATCTTCCTTTGTATTATTTACTGATTAGGCCCCAATAGCTAACCATTCATCATCGACCCTTATCTCCAGGTGATAACCAAATTTGTTGCAATCGAAAAAAAAAGAAGTATACAATTTGTCAGATTTATTGAAAGCAAAATAAATGGTCAGGTTTTACAATCATTTTTCTGTCATTAAATAATGGTAACATGATGAGAACGGAAGGGCAATGCGTTCTGTCGTACGAGTTGTTATTACATGATGTCTCGTCATTGGGTAGTGTAAGATAATCTATATTGATCCAGGTATTTACGGTACACGTGGAGCCAGGAAAGTCACGCCAACAGTTCTAACAATGGCGGACCGAGTCTGAGAGGCATCTGTAGATTGTTAAACAGAACTTCTTATATAGTGTTTCTACTGACATTGAAGTATCGTCTGCTCGTAGTCCCCGGTGTTTCCTGTTGACAACTCCGTCATACCCAAATACGATAGAAAAGGGCACTGGGTAGTGTATAACGAACGGTAAACGCTATAATTAGAATAGAGTACAATTCGATTCAGACAACAACTAGAGTCGAGAGTCGAGAGGGATAAAATTCAAACTGCAGATAAACTAAATCTGAGACAAAGAAGAAAGGAGGGAAGAGTACGACTGTTTATGGCTTCATTTAAGACGAGGGCAGCGTAAACACAAGTGTATCAAAGTTGCATATAAGATAAGGAAAGATAAAGTACAACTGTATTAAAACTGAATCGAAGATAAGGAAAGATAAAGTATTAAAATTGTCTTCAATAAAAGATAATGAAGGAATTTCTATTTCATGTGAGATATATTAAACCTGTGAAAAAAACTTTTCTTTTGAGCGAGCCTCTAACAGGTTAATGTAAAAAATACACGAGGAGTTTGATAAATTTCATATGAAATGGAACTGGATGTACTACTCTATTGATCATCTGTTAAAAATGTGTTGCAAACATTCGTGAAAACAACATTTTATTCAGGCTGATTTGAAATTCATATTACCGACATCCTGGCATTATACAATTGTCCTAGTTGTGACGTCACGATTAAAACAATGAAAACTTTCAGCCAACCAGAGTCCCGTTAGGTGGTATTTAACATGTCAGTGGCGGATCCAGAGGAGGTTTTTTGGGGGCTTCAGGAAACCCCCCACTCTGAGAATTTTCTTTAAAAGTTATGTATTTTCACCACTATCCTCAATTCTTCCCCACATAGAAAACCCCCTTTGAAATTTGGGATATGTCATCTGGAGACAAAACCAGTTCTGACTGACACAACTAACTCCCAGAATATATTAAGAAAACGTCACTTTTATACGAGGTCCCACCTGATCCAAATATCGATATTGGTAAGTATTTCATGTGGAACACTGTTAATGTGCATTAAATTTGTGCAACATCATTCCTTGCGTCACTGACTGCATACTCATGATGGAAAAGATAGCACACGCCGATAAACACGATTGTTCCTCCCTATCACAAACCAAGCTGGTAGTTATCGGGAAAACATTGCCTCCTGATACATCTGAAGTAAGAGAACCCGAATAAACTAATGTGTCCAGGTGAGGAAATTTAAGTGAGTTGAAACTTTGAATTGACCTCTGAGTGACCCCGTCATCTGTAGACATTGGCTTCATATGTCTTCGTAGCTGTTGCAAGGGCAAAACAGCAATGAACCAACAAGAATCTTAATAATACGGTTTACATGATTATTGTCAGTGATTATGTCACGCAAGAATGTGCAAGATACCCAAGTAGGTTGTCCTCACACAACTCAATAGCACAGCATAATTAATATTTGTTTATCGGGACCATCTTCAGAAACTTGCAATGCTTGATTAGATTCAATCCCGTCAAGCCTGAACTAGTTTTATTGTAGTGGTTACAATACACAGTTTTGTAGATAATTCATTGTACTCTACCCTGCCACCAACCAGTGTTTCTTTTTCAATTTAACGTTTATATATATATCCTTGTCAATAAATTCATATAATACTGTGTATTGATTTCATATCCATGAGAGGAGACACCTTCTGTGAAAATATTGGCTGTTAATGGTGTGTTCCGCGAGAACCATTTTTGTTCATTATTATCCTTCCCATGAATAAATAGGGTTTAATGAGTAGTATAGGATATATACACGTGTCAAATATTAAAAATGAATGTCAACTCCGACATTTCTGGATATCATCACTGTATTTCATATTAAAGATTAAGCATTTTATAAGTCATTAAATTTACGAAGAGCCACAAGGCACAAAGCAAAGGGCACAAGGGCCATGCATATAACAGAAATATTTAACACCGGTTAAGGTCTAAACAAGAAGTCTGTGAATCTCGCACACACCATGAAAGCGTTAATTGACTATTCGTTTTCAATTATGTATAGACTATTCCTTTCAGATAGTTTGAGATAGTATTCTATCAGGCACTGAAACTATCTGATTACTGGTGCTGAGATGATGACAGCATCTAATTGAAATACATGTTATAAGGTTATTGACAAGTTTTAGGATTGCGTGAAAGATCTTTGTGTTGCATAAAAGACTTATATTTAAACTATTGTGGAGAATTGTAAGATTTTTGTTGATCATGGTTTATTTATTATTTAAATTCATTTACAATTCAATACAATTACATCAATTGAAAGGATCTGGCGACAAGATATAAAATCTTATATTAGGCCATCTCCTTCAGGTAACATTTAACAAACATTTATATTCTCTGACTGACCATAATTGTTTAACATATATAACACACATTTTAATCTAATTAGTAAGAAAGAAAGAAATGAGAAACAAAGAGTTAAATTATTAAGAGAGATAGAAGATAGAGATTTAGAAGTTTGAGAGAGTGATGAGATTCCACATCAACACCTAGAATCTGCCTGATGCCATAATGTACCTCTGGACTTGATCAAAAATTTCAATATTTTCTATTTGAGTCAAATTTGGGTCACCTTGAAGCAATAATTTAATATTTATGTTTATATTTAGCTCAGATATTGTATTAAGTCTATGTTGTCTATAATTTGTACATTCTAATAAGAAATGAGATGCTGTCTCAATACTACCGCATTGACATAGGTTTGACTAAGCAACATGGTTTTTGCACAGATCATAATTTTAAAGAGCTACACCCAATACTTCGTTTTGGGTGGAGTACCTGGGCCTTACGATGACCATTGAAATAATAGGACGGCTTTTTGATTTTATTCCGATTTAAATATCTTACAAAAAAAGGTTTAGACGGTGAATTTCTGGTTTCATCAGAAATTGCGTTCCATTCTCGTATGGCTGTAGGTAGGAACGAAGATTGGTAGGTATTAGTTTTACTGGATGGGGGATGCATATTTGAGTTTGACCTTAGTCTATAAACTTGAGAGGCACCAATACTTGGGGGTAGTATGCTCTGTAGATATGCAGGGGCATGCTTATGATACATATTGTACAATGCTATCATCCTATGTTTATAACGTCTATATGATAAAGATTCCCATCCAGTTTCCCAAGTTATATAATTAGTTGATGCAGATTTTGTTGCTCCTGTAACAATCCGTCCTGTTTCCATCTGCAGTTTTTCAATATCTTGATTGTCCTGTTGATTGCAATTTCCCCATACTATATCAGCATATTCTAACAACGGACGTATGTATGAAAAGTACATGATTTCAAGTGACTTCCTATCTAGTTGAAATTTAAGTGCTCGCAAAATGTCTATTCTCTTCCACGCTTTAGTAAGTAAATTTTTGATATGCAGATGCCATTAACAATTTTCATGTATTGAAAGTCCAAGATATGTGTGTTGTGTGACTTGCTGTATTTGGACATTGTTCATTAGAAGAGGTGGATGGTCAGTTGTCATTCGCTTCTTGGAAAGAACCATGCTTTCAGTGTTCTTAGGATTAAAATTTACTAGCCACTGTTCAGCCCAGGTACTGATTTTAGATAGGTCTGAGTTAGGATCACTGCCGACCTCTCAGGATCATCAACAATTAAAATAATGAAGTGTCATCCGCAAATAGACGTAAATTGGCATTAATTTCAGTTACTATATCATTAATAAATAAAATAAAAAGTAGAGGTCCAAGTATCGAACCTTGTGACACGCCAGCATGGATTAATGCAGTTTTGATGTACTTCCTTCAATAATAACCTCTTGTGATCTTCTTGAAAGGTAACTCTCAAACCACGATAATAAATTTCCTGATATACAATTTTGTCTTAGTTTAAACAATAAACCCCTGCGCCACACTCTGTCAAATTGCTTATGTCACAAAACACAACCCGAACCTCCTTACCATTATCAACAGCCTGGAAAATAGTGTTTATTATATCAGTTAATTGATAGGCTGAAGAATCTTTTGGAGTGAACCCAGACTGATGTTAAGTAATACAATTATTTTCATGGAGATAGTTATAAACGTGTTTAAATACGCCCTTTTCAAATACTTTTGCTATACAACTTAAAAGAGATATTGGTCTATAATTTGAGACTAAGGATCTATCACCTTTCTTGAATACATGAATAACGTTTGCTATTTTCCATGATGAAGGGACTATATTTGATACTAAAGACTCGTTGAATAAGTTTGAAAGTGGAACAGACAATTGGTGACTAGCTTCTTTTAGTAGCTTAGGGCTTACCTGATCAGGACCACTAGCTTTATTAACATTAATTAGTTTAAGAGCATCTTCTACATCAGTTGGGGATATATGTATGTTTTCTAAAATGTATGGTGGTACTTGATGTTGTGGAAGTGTTGTATTTGGATCATCAATATTTGTTTGTTCACAGAAGAA